GTCCTTCTCCCTGCTCTGCTCCCCACTCTGGCTCTGGTGAATTCTCTCACCCTCCCGCGCTTCTGACTATACCCAGTGCTTGTATAAATAAATAAATAAATCTTTAAAAAAAAAAAAAACTGGAAATAATGAAAATGCCCATCATATAGATGAATAAGCAAACTGCAGTACACTCATACTATGGAACTCTAATCAGCAATTGATTGAGAGATAACTATAAAATCACATGAACCTTGATTAAGATCAAGTATGGTCACTTCAGTGAGCAGTATCAACTTCACTGGGAACTTATTAAAATTCAGGTGGTCAGGTCCCTCTCTAGCCCCACTGAATCAGAAACTCGGGAAGTGGGAGTTCTTTAAACAACTACTTTAGAGTGATTTGCTAAAAGTATCAATAAAGGTTCTTGACATGTCAGTGCTATCTTTTTTATCAGTAACCTACACTGGCTAATTTAAATTAAAGATGAATTTATTGGAAAGTATCAGGTAACTCAGAGAATTAAGGAGAAAGAAGAAACAGTCTTAGATAATAGACCAGAACCAAAACAATCAGTTGTGGAAATGATCTATTAAGATGCTGCTGTCACCACCAATGTCTGCCATCTCTGCTATTTGACAGATCACTGTAGGCAGCTGCAGCTCATAACAGAGTCAAGGATGCCAGACTGCCTAGACCTCAGTTACCATAGATCCAGGACCATTCATCATCCCTTCATTTTGGCAACACTTGCTCAAGACTCAAAATACATAGTAGCCAGATTTGAGTTACAGGTTTTTCAAGGGAAGAGAATAGAGAGTGAACTCACCCTTTAGGCATCTGAAGTTAGAAATAGGAGCCTACTCATTGTCAAAACCTAGATATTAGGGGTTTCCCAAAATCTAGCAAGTGAGAAACAATTAAAGATGCACACTATTTTAAGTGTTCTGAATAAAGTAAATTAGGAGTATTTTTAACAGAACCATATTCTAGCAGATTGAGGCAAACACTTTTTGTATTGCAATTATGAATTTAAGATTCATAAAACTTACTCTATATTCTTGAGCTATGTCTTTTCATTAAAATATCGGCTCACAGAAGATCACAGAGTGGATGGTGTCAGCATGTGCTTTTCCGCTACATGTTTAAGGAAAGAAGGACTCAAAATATCTACATTGTTACTTTGGTTTCAGGATCACCTTCAAGTGGTGTTATGTAAAACTGAATTAATTGGGCAATAATAGGCAAAAATATAATGTTGACTAAAATATAACAACTTGTACAAAAATTAACTCAAAATGGATCATGGGCCCAAATGTAAAACATAAACCATAAAACTTTAAAAATAATCTTTGAATTTAGGATTAGGGAGATAAGATTTGACACCAAAAGTTTGGTACACAAAAGGTCAAATTAAGAAGTAGGACTTCAGGGGTTGGGGGGCGGGGAAAGGAGGGATTGGGGTCAAAATAAGGGGGTTGTAATTGTATGGGGAATATAAAAATAAAATTTAAATTAAATAAATAAACAATAAAAATTAAAAAAAAAGAAGTAGGACTTCATCAAAATTAAAAACTATTATCCTGCAAATGACCTTATAAAGAGGAAATAAAGACAAGGTACAAACAAGGAGAAAATATTTAAAAGCCACACATATAACAAAGGAAAAATATCTTAAATATACTGTATAGAGGACTCTCAAAATTCAACAGTAAAAAGCTAAGTAATGCAATTAGAAAGCAGGGGGGAAAACCTGAGCAGACAGTTCACCAATGAAGAAACGTAGGTGGCAAATAAAACTTGGTCAACACCATAGGCCATTAGGGAAATGCAAATAAATTCACAACAAAATATACTATATACATTAAAATGGTTAAAATAAACAGCAGTGACAACACAAAATATTGGCAAGGCTGCAGAGAAACTAGATTGCACATACACTGCTGGTGAGAATGTAAATGGACAACTTTTTGGCAGTTTATTATTTACAGAACTTGCAACCCAGCATGACCCAGCAATTACAATCCTGGGCATTTATCCCAGAGAAATTAAAACATGTTCACATGAAGCCCTGTAGTCGAATGTCCTAGCAGCTTTATTTGGAATAGACAAAAATAACTCAGATGTCTTTCAACAAATGGTGAAACAAACTACAGTACTTCCATACCACAGAATGCTATTCAGCAATAAAAAGAAGCTATTAGTATATGCAACATCTTGAATGATTCTCAAGGAATTAAACTAAGTGAAAATATCCAATCCCAAAAATTGACATCCCATGTTATTCCATTTATATAACAGTTTTGAAAGGATAAAATTGTAGAAAAAAAGAATAGAATAGTGATTTCCAGGGGTTAGGGATAAGAGAGGAATCGGGTAAATAAATAACGTTAATAAAGGGCAACAGAAGGGATCCTTGTTTTGATGGAACTGTTCTTGACTGTATATATATATATCCTAATATATACATATATATCTCCTAATTATGATATTGGATTACAGATGATACCAATATCACAGTGATGGTACCAATATGCACAGTGATAGCAACTTCAGGAATCTGAGTAAAGGAATCTCCATATATTATTTCTACAACTACATGTGAATTTACAAATATCTCACAATAAAAAGATTTTTAAAAAAAATTGAAAATTGAAATTTTCAGGTTCTGAGTCCAGAAAGACAGGCTATCTTCTTTGGGTAGGGATGACAGTTTTTCCCACAGTAAATGTTTGTATCCATCAATGACTATATAAGTTTAAAATAAAATGCCCATTTTAAACAGGTAAAGGAAAGACTTAGCTTGTTTTCTAGGCTAAATGGGAATGAGGAGCCTACATTTCATAAAGAAACCTGGAGTTGACACTTTTTAATTTCATGTACATATATAAAAGCCTACTACATATAAATAAAAGAGCATATACCACAAATATACAGACCAATGAAATTTAACTTACTGATCACATCCATGTAATGAGGTCCCACATGAAAAAACAGAACATAAACAGCAGCCCCAGAAGCTTCTTTTATATACCCTTTTATTCTGTACCTGAGCCTCAAAGGTACTACCATTCTAACTTCTAACACCGCAGATTAGTTTGACCTGTTACAACTTAACAGAACCATATGAAACATGCGCATGTGTGTCTATTTTATTGCTCCAAAATTGTATTTCTGAGATTCATCCATATTATTGAATGTATTTGTTCATTTTTCATTCTCACTGCTATGTTGTAGTTCATTGTGCAAATATATCACAATTTATCCATTCTACAGTTGACAGGCATTTGGATAGTTACATTTAAACACTGAACACTGGGCCTCCCCAGTAGTGTAGCAGTTGAGCGCTGGGTTGCGAAGCTGCCCACAGCCTCGATCCCCGGCTGCTCCCTGACCACTGGAGGAGGGTCCCACATGGTGCACAGACCTCTCCTGCCGCTGCTCCCCTCAGCAGTGTACTTCGGTCCTTATGCCTGCTCTGCTCCCCACTCTGGCTCTGGTGGATTCTCTCACCCTCCCGCGCTTCTGACTGTACCCAGACCTTGTATAAATAAACAAATAAATCCTTAAAAAAAAAAAAAAAAACCACTGAATACTGGTATAAATATTGAAGTGGATGTCTTTTGGTGACTATATGTATACATTTCTGCTGTTTTCCACATAGCTGCTGTTCTATCAGCTTGGATCCTAGAGTGAAGACAAGTTGAGCAGGATCCCCGCTTGACTTGAAAGAAAATATAGTAAACTATAAAAATATAGTCACTGAGATTTTGGGAATGTTTATTAATAGTGTATAACCCTCCTCAATTTACTGATATAACTAGCATCCTTGTTTTCTTCGGATTTTAATGGGTTGGCTTCCAAAATTTCACTGTGTAAGTATAGATAGAGAATATTTTTATCAGGTTTAAAGAATTACCCTTTTGCTTTCTAATTTTATAAGAATTTCTATCACAAATAAGTACATTGCATAGAGTGTTTTTCTGCATTTATTCTGCAACATTTGTCAAGATGTCAGTTTTTCTGCATTTATATGATGATTTTTATTGGTCAGTTTTCTAACACTGAACTAGCTTTGTATCCCTGGGATAAGCCCTATTCAATTTCAATGTATTATTTATTAATGTATACCAGATTAAATTTGTTAATTTTTTCTAAATTGTTAATTTCCTGACTCAGTATTGGGATCAAGTTCCTAATTGCCAATTACTAAGATATTTTTTATCCTTCCATCATTTTACCTCTTAGGCACCTTACTATTCGTCACTGGTTGCTCCTTCAATGTATTGTTTTTGTTATTGTTGTTATGACACAGATAATAATGTATAGCTCTCTACCTAAACTATAAGGCTTTTCATGTCATGTCTCTGCCTCAGTGCTTACAGGATAAACCCCAAACACCTTAGAAAGGCATATTTGACTATTTGTAATCTGGCCTCAGCTTACCTTCTTGTCTCTTCTCTTGCCATTACCCATACTTTCTGTGGTCCACACTGATTTCATTGCTCCCTGGCCTAACTAGGGCCCACCAGAAAACTTCAGGCCATTGTGCATAATAATGCCTCTACTTTGTATATACTTATCCAGTTGATTTTAAAACCTCACCATGCCAGTGCCATCACTTAAGCTTCCCCCAAGAATATGGTTACTGCCCACAGCACCGTATTCATACACTTGAAATAACTTTTATGATAAAATCCCAGATTCTGAACCCAAATTACAAAGTCTCACATAATTTAACTCTGTTTAGTTTCTTTGCTTATTTGCCACTGTCACTCTCTCTACTTGAACACATGGCCTTTTTGGAGTTTTGCAAGCAAGCTCAATTTTCAACATAAGCCTAGACACTGTTTTGCTAGCCAGATTATCTCTATTTATCAATCTCCCCAACTCTTCATTCATTAAATGCTACTTCTTAGAGAAATCTTTCTAGGTTTGCCAGTCTAGGGCATTCTGATTGTTCTACACAGTCAGAACACCATTAAGTTAATAAAATATTTAACAAAATTATAATTAAATACCTGTAGGATGACTTGTTTGATGTCTGTTTGCCCCACTAGACAGTGAAGTCCATGTCAGGAACCACACAAATATGGATCTTTTAGAAAAGGAAAGATTTCATTTAGGAAATAAAATCTTTTTTTTTTTAAAGATTTGTTTATTTATTTATACAAGCACTGGGTACAGTCAGAAGCGTGGGAGGGTGAGAGAATTCACTAGAGCCAGGGTGGGGAGCAGAACAGGCAGACTGCTGAAATACACTGCTGAGGGGAGCAGCGGGCACGGCAGGAGAGGTCTGCGCGCCATGTGGGACCCTCACCGGCGGCCGGGGATTGAACCAATGCTGCAGAAGCTGCCGGCAGCCTCAAGCCCAGCGCTCAACCGCTGCCCACCAGGGAGGCCCGGAAATAAAATCTTTTTACATTAAATTTTAAGTTGTTTCTATTTCTAGCATGTAAATCCCTTTCTCATGAACCTGTTTACCTTTTATTAACACACACATGAATTGTTTGTTATATAGAAATTAAGGGGCAAAGCCCGGTCCCATGTTTGGGTTAAAGTAGTACTGGAGCAGGGACAACAGGCGTTGACAGTGAGATGATCACGTGACACAATAGTTTAGCAAAAGCAGAAGTTTAGAACTGGGAGCAACGATGAAAATATAAGCCACCTTCCTCCCAAACTGATAGAACTACTGGATGAGACACTGAATATTTAAAATTTTATGGAAGAAGCTTGAATTTGTTTTATCTAAAGATCTTAAGAGGCAGGCAGATCCCAACTGACATTTGGTTATAATTTTAATTTATCTGTTTGTTAAAATATCTGTCTATCTGTCAATTCACTATGCACTGAACTCCTTGAGAACAAGTTCTGTCATTCATCTTAAAATATTAAACTTGGTACTCAGGAGGCACTCAATAAATGTTTATTACATTAACATAATTCACTCTGGAGAACTGGGAATTTGATCTATTACCCCACCAACCCATGAGTCTAAATTTTGAGAGATTCTGCTTAGTACAAAGAAACAGATTGCAGAGTAGCATTTCAAATGTCAGATAAAGTATGAGTGTTTTTCTGGCTATTGAAATTATTCATGCAGACAATTCCATTCTCTGTCTATGAGTAAGGCATATTCTATTTATACATATAAAAATGGGAGTAGGTGGAAAAAGTGTTTATCTTCTTTATGCATTAGTTATTATCTCTCCACTGACTCTATTGTTAATTTCTTCAACTACCATTAAAAAATACAATACATCTCTTTACTATATTTGATTATGAAGGAAGCTGTGGCCTCCTACATTATTCATAGCTTGTCAAAAAAAGATACATAAAGAGCTTCAGTGGTGCTGAAAAACTCTTTTAACATTTAAGTATCAAATAGGTGTTTTTAAAAACAATATGTTATTTTTTAATCATTAAATAAATATAGCTTGGTGGATAGGCATCACCAATGGACTACATGAGAATTCTAAAAAAGTTCTTGTTTGCCTATAATTGCTCCTTTTTACTCCCAATGATGTTTAATATTTTAGAGTTAGAAGCTCATTCCTTAAGCATCTTCTAGTTCCAGTGGCATGGTTACTTGAGTTAAAGTACAAAACCTCTAATGTAGGAAGACCACATTAAATACACGTGATAAGCACGGATGAGCTCACACATAGAAAAGGAAAATCTCCAGATACCACAAAGAGGAAAGGAAAGTAGAAGGAAAGGAAAGCAGGAGTGATAAATGTGTGGGTTAACTCTGCATCAACTTTAGGGTCAAGTTATTGGATTTGGAAACAGCAAATGAGTTGGGTTTGAACATCTATGCAGGAAAAGAAGTTGAAATATTAGATCTAATGAGGTTGGAAGTAAAATACTGCATAAAAACAAAACTCTCCAAGGGTTTAACTGGCATTGACTCAACACCCAAATTTAAACTAGTTGAAAAGTGAACATAAATGTTGGTTGTTATTGGGCCCATGATATTTTTGTGGATCTAGTGAATCAAACCAGAAGAATGACTCTGGGTCACACAGGATTCCCACAGAAAAAGAAAAAGTGATCTGAAGATAATCTAATAAAATAAAAAAATATAAAATACAAGCAAATTATCCACTATGAACAAAAGTCAAGAAACACATGACAACTCCAGCAATATGAGATAAGAGAATGTCCATATGATTGTCTGAAATAATAAAATACATCTAAACTAATTAAAGAGTTCATTTGAACCATAAAGAGTAAAACTCAATGAAAAATAGAACAGGCAGTTTTAGAAAAGAACTAAATAGAATTTTTAAAATTAAAACTATAATCATTGGAATTAGAAGCTCAGTGGACAAGTTAAACAGCAGATCAGACACAGATGAACAAAGAATTCTAAGAAACAGAAACTGATCTCATAAAGTTATTTAGAATGAGGTAGAAAGACAAAGACTAGCAACATAAAAGATATGGAGATTAGAATAAGGTACAACATATGTCTAATGGGAATTCTACAAGGAGGAAAGGGAAACAAAAAATTGTGAAAAGATAATAGTTGGAAGTTTTGAATGATTGATGAGTGATACGAAATTTTTTATTCAGAAACATAAATCTGGGCCTCCCTGGTGGTGCAAGGGGTTAAGAGTCAGCACTATGAAGCAATCCACAACTACTACAGCATGAGTTCAACCCCCAGCCAGGGAGGTGACCCATATGGCACAGCAGACCTCTTCTGACTCACCTGCTGCTCCCTCAGCAGTGTATTTCAGTCAATCTGCCTGTTCTGCTCCCCATTCTATCTCTGGTGAATCCTCTCACCACCCACATCTCTGGCCTACACCCCAGCTCTTATATGCATAAATAAATAAGCCTTTAAACAAAACAAAACAAAACAAAACAAAACAAAACACCACATAAATCCTTTGCAAGATAAATAAAAAGAACCCCAAATCTAGCTACATTGCAGAGAAATGATGAAATGTCTTATAAACAGTAAAATAATCATAGAAAAATTCATTTTCAGTCTTAATTTTCTCCTTGCTAAAAATTGAACTCAAAATATACTCTAGTTCAAATAAACTTAAGGGGGTACTATGGCTGGATGAGAAGGGCTTGGGGATGAAAATTTAAAAACTAGCAACTAGTTTTTAAAAAACCTAGCAACTAGAAAAATAATTTCTCAGATTCAATATTCTTGTATCTGTAATAACTGCAACATACGAGACTAGATATTGGTTATATAAGAACAAGTCAGTCTAATATAATTCAAATACTTCAAAATATTATGCTCTGGCAACATAAATTCATTTACTTGCCAATATAGCTCTAGCCTCAAATACATCTTATACAGAAAAAACTAAGACAGGGGAAGGCACGAAACTAACAATCTGTCATTTTTGTTCACTGCTAATAAGTTTATTATCATGTTTTGGGCCAATAAGTATCTCAAAGACATAAATATTTGATTGAGAAGTATCACTGCCAATTTCTACAGTTTGAGGAGAAACCTCTTTTCATCAGAATATTTTCTAAGAAGGGCTAGTGTACTTCCTGGGTTTTGCAAGAAGAGGGTTTATAGTCATCTTCCTGGGGGTCTGACAAGAAGTCACTGTGTCTCTCAGGGTCTGAGATAATGGGCTGAACACTTTGGTAGAGTATCTAGAGCACTTAAGAATTGATCTAGCAGAGAAAATTGACACCGGGCTTTGGGTTACTATCTCCAATAATAACAGACTATACCCTCCTAAGCAACTTAAGGTCTTCCAATTTTCTCACCTGAAAGGACTTTCAATTGAGTTTTCTATTAATCTTCACCTAGAAAAACAGAAAAAGACTTTATTGATTTGCCCCAATAATTCCTTGACTTTTCCAGTGCAGACATCCACATACAGGAAACTTTCTTCTTTGAAATCTAAAATCCACACATTCCTGTTCTCCTATATCCTTGCTCTGGTTAATGTTTGCATATTGCTTCTGTACCTCCTTCCTCAGGATCTGAGTTCCTTGACTTCTCTACAATTGCCTCTCAGCTCTTGCCACTTTCACTTAGACTTGAACCAATTTAGACTTAAGCCACTCTGTTTTCAAATATTCCCAACCCAATTATCTCTATTAAGAGGAAAGAATTCATTGAGTAATGCAAGTAAAGAACTGGCTGAGAGAAGTGCTTAATAAATAGTAGGTAACACCACTATATTACACACGTATGTGTGTGTGTGCATGTGTATATACATGTATAAATATCCTCTTGCTCTCTTGTCATTCTGTCATACCAACCTGTATGTCATACAATTCTGGGCTGCTTACCCATTACTGGAGGAAAAAAATCACTAAATTTTGCATAGAGTAAGTTCATATTTTGGTCTTAATTGCCAAAGCAAGTCTACTGTTTCTCTAATTAGTTTTCCAAATTCTGAGACTACTTTAAATCTCTAATTTCCAATCTTCTGTCCAACTCTTCCTCCCAACATTTGCATTTCCTCATTTTACAAAAACAAAAGCACCAAATCTGAAAACCTTTCTGCGTTTGCAACTACCTGCATTTGCAACTATCCTCCCCTGCTTTTCTCCTCTGACAACAGCAGTAGTCTGGCTAACTGCTAAGGGCCAGTGACCACATTCTCTCCCACTCTCTGTCATCCTCACCCACATATCTTCAGCTTATCTCCACTGGCTCCTTCTCCTCAGTATTTAAATATATTCCATCTTTAAAATTTTCTCTCATTACTCCAGCTACCTCTGTTATTTCTCTCCTGTGCATCCCATCCAACATCTTAAAAAAATGTTTTCCACATTTGTTGCCTCTATTTATTTACTTCCCATTGCTCCTTGGCATTATGACCTTGTTTCCATTTCCACATGCCATTGAAATTATCCTTATCGGCTTTATCAACAAGTCCAGTAAACCTTTCTCAGGTATTGGTTTCATTTGACCTGTCAGTCACCTTGGGTAAATATCAATCACTTTCTCCATTTGAAACATTCTGCTTCTAAGTATGCCAGTTTTCCTAGACCTCTGTAACTGCTTTTGGGGAGAGCATTCTTTGTAGCCTCCTCTTTCTCTGCCCATTCTTTAAGAACAGGGTTCCTTAGAGTTCAAATGCCCTGTTTTTATCATATTGTTATTAGTCTGGGGTGACTCCATTGCCATGCAGTCTGCAAAAGCAAAGCAAATTCTTAACCTGTAAATGCCCCAAGATTACAAAATGTAAATACTAAGGACAATGACAGTCTGCTAGGTTTTAAGCTATAGCCAAATAGATAATTTCCTTTTTTTTTTTTTTTTTTTTTTTTTTTTTGCTTCAGCACTTTAACTCTTTCTCCTGGCTCCTGTGCTGCTACCAGCTTCTGGTTTAGCACTGCACAGTTCCAACGGATCCTTGCTCAGATACACTCTTACAAATTTTAGGATGTTTAGTTTATCTATAAACAATACTTTGTATCTTATTTCCTCCAACCCACCTATACTCTGATCCTATAATAATGATTCAGTTTAGCTCACCCTCCAGATGCCAAAACTACTTAGGCATCTGCCTCCCAAGTTGTCTTTTGCTGTGTTATTTATCTTTGGGTTTCACTATCTACCCAGCTTCCTGAAGCCAGAAATCTGACACCACCCTTTTTCTTCCTCTTCTTACACTCATCACACTCCATCAACTACCAAGTTCAGTCCGTTCTATTTGCTGAAATAGCTCCCTCATCATTTCAGCTGACATGCAGGCCATCATGTCACATTTCCTTAAGGGGTCCTCTGTTTTCAATCTTAGCTGTTCTAATCCATTCTCCATACATAGCCAGAGTGACTCTTCAAAAATGTAAATTATATCATGCCACTCCCATGCTTAACGTCTTTCAGTTTCTTGTTGCCTTTAAGACAAAGCTCTAAAAATTCCCTAACATTTCCTTTTCAGTCTCAATTCTTTGTTTTCCTCTCGCAAGCATTCTTTAGCCAATCTGAACTTCTTTGATTCCTAGACAGCATGCTTGCAGTCTGACCTGTTCCCTCAACCGCAAAATATATATATTGCTCCCTTCTTTTTTCTAACCAGCCTGCCCTAAACTTTGAAGTTCAACCTTAAGTGTCACCTCCAGGAAAGCAACATCTCTCCACTTTGAACTCTTCAGGTATTCCCAAGGCATCCTATATACTCATCTAGCAATTAACAGTATTGTCTGATAATTGCTTCTTCCCCCGTCAACAGCCGTAAATTCCTGAAGGGCAGAAGCAGCCAAGTGTTTTTAAACTTTCCATCTCAAGCGCCTGAAAAAGAGCTTCTGACAATAACATAACGGTTCAATCCTTTCTGGGTGTGTGAGGAACTATTCCCTTCTTTGCAACGAGGGCGGAAATAACACCCGAAAGGTGAGGGTTTGGGGGAGGCAGAGCCAGTCTCTCCAGGAACAAGTGGGACGAGCACCGAGCACGTCTGTTTTTCCAGACAGCCTCGCCGAGGGGACCAGGCCCCCCCCCCGCCCCGAGCCGGCGGCGACGGCGACTACCGGTTCTAGAGAGCGCGACCCCAGGCGAGGCGGGACAATAGTTTGGAATTCGGCCTCGTGTTTCCGGTGGGCCAGCTTCGCTCGGGCGCAGAGGCCCAGGGTGGGGGCTCCGAGCCCGACCCGCGGCGAGGAAGGCGCGGCCCCTGGGCTCCCGGCGCGGCGGCCGCCACCAGCCCCTGCGACGCAGCCGCCCCGCCCCGCCCCGCCCCGCCCCGGAAGTGACTTGAGGCCGGTCCGGAACCTCCGGCCCCGGCGGCTGCAGCGTCACCAGCCGAGCCGGTGCGGGGCGGGCGGAGTGGCCGCTGCCGCCGCCAACGAACCGGGGACCGCGCGGGGGCCAGCAGCGTGCCGGCCAGGGGAGGGGGCCCAGCGGGCGGCCGAGAGCGACGGGCCGCGGGCGGCCGCGGGGCGACGACGACGCTAAGGAGGCGGAGCCCGGACAGGGCTGGGGGCCGGGGCGGGCTAGGGTGGGAGGGGTGGGGGGTGTCACTGGACTCATGGAGCCTGCCGAGCGGGCGGACGGCGGGGATCCCCCGGAGCCGGGCGGGCGTCCGGGGACGCACCCTTGGGGCTTCGTCCCGCAGAAGGAGATCGTCTACAACAAGCTGCTGCCCTACGCGGAGCGGTTGGACGCGGAGTCCGACTTGCAGCTGGCCCAGATCAAAAGCAACCTGGGCCGAGCCGTGCAGCTCCAAGAGCTGTGGCCCGGGGGCCTCTTCTGGACCAGGAAACTCTCCACGTAAGTGTGTCGGGCGCGCTGGACCGGCCGCGGGCAGAGGCTCAGTGGGAAGGCGTCGGGGTTGGGGGGTGGGGGGGCTGCTCTTTGTCCACGCTGGAGGACTGAACCCTCAACTTTGCCCCTGCTCGAGCCGTACCCCTTGGGCTGCTCCCCGGGCCCCTATGGAAACCCAAGGAGCATTCCTCCCACCTCCTTTCTCCATTCTTATGGGATCTTCCCGGCCCTCAACAGCCCTCTACGTCGTCCCCAGCTGCTTCCTCTCTAGGGCTCAGGTTGTTTTCTTGTGACCTGCGGGGCCTCTGAGAACCGAGGACACCGGCCCTCAGGAGGAGAGATGATCCGGGCTCAAGGGTCCTTCGTGGACCTTTGCTGGTAGGACAGAGGGGTTAGATAGGATTCGTCTTTGGGGAAACAGCTCGACTTCTGGTGCTTCCCTCGGCACTTTTATTTCCCTGCGGTCCCCGCCTCTTCGTATCCTTCAATTCGCTTCTGGTAACTTTCTGAATTGCTGTGAGGTCGCGGGGGACTAATAGATTTGGCTTCTTTGGGGCCTGCTTAGTCTTTGTGGATTTGATTGAAAAGTGCTTTAAAATCAGCCTTCAGCGCATTCGTTGGGCCGTGCACTACACGTTAATGTTGAGAATGTGGAGTCTTGGAACCTCGAGAAAGTGTTATGTTGCTCCTTGTAACATTTCCTTTGAGAATTTACGATACCAAGGAAAATAAAGAAGAGAAGCTGTCAGGCTGCTCTGCGTGTTATTAGTATCACGTTTGTGTTAATTTCCGTGTCTCTCAGATGACTTTAGATTACCTAAATCGTTTCACCGGCTCTGTTCATTTATTATTTTGCATACACTAGTTGCAAACTCTAGTATCACTTAAATTAGGGAGAAAAGGACCATGAAAATACAGAATGGGGAGGGGAGGTTGAGATAATATGGTAGGTGGGTATCTTCACTGTGTCAGAACAACTTTTTAGAAAAGAATTTTACCGTGTCTTGTTTGCTTAATTGTATACAGAATCTGGCAACATTGTATGTTTATGCATGCAAGTGTGGCTGGGTGAGCACGCAAGATATAAGTCACTTACCCAATGTTTATCCAAATCTGCTGAGTGAACTGGGTGATGACTCAGGGTTTTGTAATGCAATAATAGTCTTCTCTACATTTCCTCATTGGATAATTCTTAATCATAATTATCTGTCAATTATTAGGGAGCCTTTGACAAATTTCTCATCTCCACTTGGGGAGTGATGGTGGGAATAATTACCTTTTCATTTTGATTAAAAATAAACAAAACTAAAGTTTTGCCCTTTTCACAGTGACCATAAAATGCCAAGGTTAACAGCTCCTTATGGTAAGGGTAGAAAAAAGTTTGTTGTGGTGTTAGGATCCATAAGAAAACTTAGATGAGAGTGGGGGAAGGAAGAAATGCAACAAAAAGACTCACTTTAGTCAAAATGGAAGAATATTTTATGAATAATTTAAAATTCAAGTGATTTTTCAAGAAAGCCTCCCAAGTGCTACTTAGTCACAATAAAATTAGTTATTTTGTCAATTCCAGCAATATCCCATATTAATCACTTGGATCACATTTGCCAGAGAATAACCATTTTTGGAGACACAAACAGTTCTTTTTAGGTGCACAAAATATAAACATACCATTATGTGACTATACATTTGACTGGAATTTGTGAATCTAGAATCTAAGCACAGGCATAGTTAAGCATTGTTTTCTGACATATTTATTGTTACCAAACTTAGCAAAGTAGCACTGAAGTTTTGTTATTTGGGTTATTAGGCATTAGTAACTTTTACCTTGAGGGAGCTAAAAATATAGTGGAGATCAATATAGTTTCTAAGGCAAGTCTGAAGTTAGATGGCTTGATAATCTATGAACCCCAAAATATGTATCTAAATAACTAGAAAAAAAATGCTACCAAGTAGAATTTTATTTTGGAACAGTGGCTAAATACTATAAACCTATTCTTGGGATTGCAGTGTGAAACATTTTGCACTTGGTGGGGCATGTTTTGATCCTGAGTGTATTTTTTTTCCTTAGTCATGTTAAGGTGACCTGTTTATAGTTGTGCTTGTTTTTAAGCCTTGTGTGTATTGCACAAGGTTACATCTAAATGATGCCAACACATGCTGACAATAGCTGTGAATTAACTGATTAGTGATTATATTTAGTACTTTGTAGAAGAATGAAAAATATTAATGAAAATAAAATCTAATTTCTGTCACTGGCTCTGCTTAAGTAAACTTTTTTCAGTACTGTGTGTGAAAAGAGGGGGTTGAACTAAGTAATTCCTGAGAATGATTTGCTCTGGTTTTGATTGTATTTTTTAAAATCTTGTACAGCCACACATAAGCCAATGTGTGTCTTTTTTAGAAGGAATGGCCAGTTTCTGAAGTACTGAAAATAGTTGCATAGATAAGTGCACTTCTAAAGAAGATCAGGGTATAAATGCTGATCAGAGACAGTAGGGCTGGATTCTCCACTCTTCCATAATACTAGTTTTCCTAATCTGAGGTGTCACAGGTATTTTGTGAGGTTGAATCTAGATTGGGAGGTAACGAAGGCTCTACCTTTGGTTTCCCCTTTTGACTTTTTGCCTTATTTTAGTAGTTAACTTTGCCACATTTTAGTAGTTACTATATTTGTTTCAATTAATACTGAGACTCAAAGGTCTGTTGCTTTAGCATCTTTGTGAAGGCAGTTGTTATATATTTAAAAAGAAAGACTCTTATCATAGAATACAGCTCATTTGTACAGACAGTTTAAAATATTAAAACTGCCTCATTGGAGAGAAGAGGCAAACTAGTAGTCTTTGGGAAAAACACCAATAAAGACCTCATGGACTTTGTAAGTAAAAGTCATCTGTAGGTAACTCATGTGGCCTGTATAGATAATGGAGGGAGTTGAAGAAAGGTGTTCTTGAAACTTCTTTCTCCCTTGCTCTTTCATAAAGGGAAATAGATCTATTCTGAAGACCTCAGTTTATCTATACTTGGCTTTGCTGCCAACACATCATTTGGTCTTTTTTTTTTTTTTAAAGCTATTTGAGACTACTTTTGGAAAGCAAAAGTTATTAATGGCTTCTCAAACTTAGAAGTAGACTGTTTCATAAGCAAAATTTAAGGCACAAAATTGGATTCCTCAGGTAGACTAAAACCACACTTTTGGTTTTGTTTTTCCTTTTTAATACTTCTCTGATAAGTAGAATTTCTGAAGGCTGCTCAGGGCTCCTAAAGATTCTGTTTGAAAAATCACTGAGCTAGTTCATAGGGGACTTTGTAGCACTTTGTGCCATTGAATTGGTCTGGAAGAAGGGGAAAGGAGGGAGAACAAGTGAATGGGTGTCTGTTTCCTCCATGCTTACCTCCGTTTCTTTTTTGCACAGAATTTTGATTGAAGTGAAGTGTGGGTTTGATGTTTTATGAAGCAAATTTGATGCCTTATTTGTTACACTGAAGTATGGTATTTTTTTATTTTATAACAAAATGACTGTATTGAGGAATCATTTCATTTACTAATTATAATTAGACTGTAGCTCCCTTGTTTAATTATTATTATAAACATGTAGCCTTTCTGTATGGGAAGTAGATTGTTCCAGATGGAGCCATATCATATATACTGGAAACTTAAGTTTAGTCAGAATATGAGTTATAGAGTACATTGACCTCCTCTTGTGGAAATATGTGACCACAGCAGCACTAAATTCATATTATCTGTGTTGGGGAAGAAAGTAGAATCTCAATTATTATTATTTTTTTTAAGATTTATTTTTTTATTTATACAAGCACTGGGTACAGTCAGAAGCGTGGGAGGGTGAGAGAATTCACCAGAGTCAGAGGGGAGAGCAGAGCAGGTAGATTGACGAAGTACACTGCTGAGGGGAGCAGTGGGCTGCAGAAGAGGTCTGCGCACCATGTGGGACCCTCTCCCAGCGGCCGGGGATCGAACTGGCGCTGCAGAGACTGCAGGCAGCTTCAAAACCCAGCGCTCAACCGCTGCGCCACCAGGGAGGCCCAGAATCTCAATTCTTTATTAACATGATGAACTTATTTAAGTATTGAAATTGTGAAGAGAGTAGATCTTAAAAAACCTGTGAAGTGTACAATAAATACAAGTGCTTTTTATTTTTAAAAGAATCTTTCATCCTTCACAAATTACCACATTAATCAGTAAGAACCAATGATAGAAAGTAGTCTTACTAAATGACCATTCAAAGTGGGAACCAGAATTTGTCAAGCTGATTTTTCTTACCAGAAAAATGAGTTAAGTGATTTTGGTGACATGAATTTTTCTGACAAAGTATTATAAATAGTACAATTAAGTTATGCTTTATAATTTTTTTTTAAATTTACAAGCTTTATTGTTTAGAGTACTTTT